AGGTTGAGCAAAATTGACAGAATAATAATCATTGCATACAAAACTTGGTAATAGTAGTATCCTAATTCTGAGGAGAATAAAATCAGTGTAGAGACTAGGAGCAGCAGTACAAATATCACAACAGTATAGACAATCCAAGCTAATGGAACAAAATGGAAAACTAATCAGTTAAATAAATACACATACCAGTTATAACAGCAGCTATTTGATAGCCAGCATATCGAAGAGAAGAAGACTATAAAGTGTGATTACATTTAGCTTTTAATATTAATTTTAACATTTGTATATCTCACCAGTGTCATTGCTGGCCAATTAATCTGTGATTTCAAAACTTTTTTCTGTCCAGTTCTAAATTCTTTTAATTGCACTCTGTAGGAAAAAAGATTAAAGCAACCAGACAATAGGGAAAAGAGGATTCATACTGGACTGAATATAAGAGATGGAGGAAATGAGCCACAACAATAAGAGCAGCTACAATTGGTGCAATGACAGTTATTGTAGTTAAACTGTCAAAGAAACGAGGGATTGCTTTTAAAAAGCTGTACTCTCCTAAACCAGAATTCTGATTAAGGATCGCTTTAGCTGCACTTCCAGCAAGATTAAACCAGTATGGTATTTGAAAAACAACCAAAACAACAAGCTTGAGAATAAATGTAAACAAAAGCGCATATTTGTTTTTATTTCTCTACCTGAAAGATGATTACAGCATCAACAACACAGACTATCAATAATGAGAATGGTATCCTCACTCCTGAATACTTAATGGTAATAATAATAATGATAATTATTATTGTTACTTGTATAAATGTGTTTCCTGAAAAAAGTAAGATTACTAAAGAAAGTATAACAATAACAATTGTTATGTTAAAATATATACATACCTTTGATGCAATAACTGCTTGACATATTTGATTTGAGCCTGAGATTCTGGTTGATTTGTAATCTAAAATACATGTTGAAATTAAGTTAGCCATCCACAAACATAAAAATGCAATAAAAATTTGAGGTAATTTTGGAGCCATTTTTTGGAAAAAACCCATGGGCTATAATAGTCCATACTTTTAAAAAATTTTGTCATTTTTTAATGTGCTCATAACTCCTTTAAATCAGCTCAAAATTTCTACACAGTATAATGACATCAATATGTATCAAAAATGTAATAAAAATTTTGAGTGACTTGGAGCCATTTGTTAAAAAACCATGGGCATAGCCTTTGCCTTTGCTTGTTTCAAAATTTGGGCAATCTAAAAAAATGGCCATAACTCAAAAAATATCTGTTGGAATAAGCTCAAACTTTCTACATAGCATAAGGACATCAATATGCATCAGAAAATGTAATAAAAATTTGGAGTGATTTTAGAGCCATTAAAAAATCATGGCTTTTTCACAAATTGGCTGATTTTTTTAAATGACCATAATTCAAAAAATATCTGTTGGAATCAGCTCAAACTTTCTACATAGCATAAGGGCATCAATATACATCAGAAAATGTAATAAAAATTTGGGGTGATTTTGGAGCCATTTTAAAAGAAAAATCATGGGATAGCCTTTGCATTTTCACAAATTGGCTGATTTTTTTAAATGGCCATAATTCAAAAAATATCTGTCGGAATCAGCTCAAACTTTCTACATAGCATAAGGACATCAACATGCATCAGAAAATATGACAAAAATTTGGGGTGATTTCGGAGCCATTTTTAGGAAAAACCATAGGCTATAATACCTTTGTTTCTTTCAAAAATTGGCTTGTTTTTTAACGTTCATAACTAAAAAAAAATTGGTCAGAATTAGCCTAAACTTACTAAATAGCATAAAGATATGAATCAGAAAAATCTAATATTAAGGTCACGTTTACACTACTCCGCTCCACTGAATCCAAATAGTTTTTGCTAAATTGCTATTACTGTTTTCAGGTGTTTACACTAGTCCAGCAGCTGCGTTTTCATTGGAACTTATCATTCCTTTATAGAAGTATCTGCTTAGGTATTAGTTAACTTGAACTGGTTCCAGTCGGCTGATTAATGTGCATTGAATGCCATCAAGTGATTCCACACTATCTTCAAGATCATGTACATTTTGATAGCATTTCTGATCCAGCTGCCATTGGTTATCTATCAAACCACATATGGAGGTGGTTTGGCTTAATGAGCATTGAAGTCAATGCTCATCAGGTGTGGAATGACTGGAACCGGTTCCAAATCAGTTCAAAATCAGTTCAATGCGCATTACAAGTGCTAGTATAGAAAGGCCTTAATTAGTGTAAACGAAACCTGTATCCGTGACTAAAAGTCTCCGTTTTCCAATGAAAACGGAGTAGTGTAAACGTGGCCTAATTTGGGATGATTTCAAAACAGTGACACATGCATTAATATATACATTCACGTTATATCGAAGGTCATAATAAAACACTATCCTTGTTTCAACTCACAGCATGTGTCCAAGTTCCATTAGTTCTACATATTCTCAACATCTCTTTAATGATTTTGTAATGATACCAGACCAAGACAGCAATAATGCAAACCAGCTGAGGCAGAAATGAGACAACGTATTTGCTATACTAAAAACAAACAAGAGAAGAACAACTATAAACTATAGCCAAGAGTATATACTCTTGCTATAGCCAATGCAGCAAGGAATAACATTTAAACTATAAATAAACTGACTAGCAAAGTCACAAAGTCCTCCGGAAAGCCATCGACATCTTGCTGCTGTATGACATCCACAGTCACATATATCCTTGATGCTAACCTAAAAATAGTTTATAAATAGCAAAATACATTATAAATGCAATATAAACTCACAGTACATCAGTATAGATTGCACCTAAGATATATCCAACAATAGGGACAGGTGCCTCAACGCAGGCCAGGAGTGGGAATGTTATAAATATTTCCAAAGATAATAAAAATATGACAGAAAGAACTACAGTACATAATATAAACTATCATGACAATAACAATTTAATTAACTCTTAACGATGCTGGCAGCCCACTTATTGACATCAGAGAAGTCTCCAGTGTTTAAAGCATGG